TAGACTTAGCATATACGCACGAAACACTTAGCATACACATGACTATTTTAGTCTTAGCATGTAATATTATTTGAGTTTTAATATAAGATTATTTTATTTGTAATTAGACTTAGTATATAATTATTTACTAGCTAGGGTTGTATAATATACGTCACCTAGACTTAGCTTATATCACGATTTGTAATTAGACTTAGCACGTAAGGTTGTGTAGGGTTCTAATGTACGACATTTACACTTAGCATACATGACTTAGATTGTTAAAACATAAATGTCTCGTGACTTAGCAGATGTTTCTTGTATCAACAGATGGCTGACCGCGATGAGGAACAGATATTGTACGATACAATCGCGGAGGGAAGCAGCCAGTACTGGAATGAAGAAGAGGGGAACGAGGATCCAAACCAGTACTTGAACGAGGAAGGGAACGTGGAGAGGGATGCGGAGGGGAACCAGCAGGGGCACGTGGAAAGGGATGTGGAGGGGAACCAGGAGGAGGAGGCTAGTGGTAGTCAACCCTCCGTTGGACAGAAGAGGGCACGCGGGCAACGAGGTGCAGCGAAGAAGCTTGAGGGTCGGCACATCATAACGGAAGTGGAAGAAGATGGACGTCCTAGTGCCCCGGCCGAAGCCGCCAAGAACTATGTACGTCACAGCGGTTGGGTTGTGCGGGATAACGTGCCTGTCAGTATGGTGTACTGGCGAAGAACAAGGGCACGCGGAGATCATGAGAGCTTTGTCCCAGATTCGGAGAAAGAGATGCTGTGGACCACAATGCTCGAGACATTCACCCTTCCTGCGGGTACAGAGGACAAAGTGAAAAGGTGGACTCTGAAGAAAATGGTAGAACAGTTTCAGAGGTTCAAGGGAGATATGTACCAGAAGTATATACTGAAGGGGCAGACACTGAACTTCGACACATTCCCAAAGCTAAGGGATCACTGGGACGAGTTCGTTGCATATAAGACAGGCGAACAAGGGCAAGCGATGATGGAAAGAAACAAAGAAAATGCCGCCAAGAAGAAGTACCATCACCACTTGGGGTCAGGAGGCTATAGCGTCGCGATGCCGAAGTGGGAGCAGATGGAGGCTAGCTTGATTGAGAGGGGTATCGAACCGGCAACAGCCAATTGGCCGAAACGATCGAAGTTCTGGTACTATGCTCACGGTGGAACGCTCAACCCAGCCGATGGCTCACTGGTCTTCGGCGATCAGATACGAGAGGCTGCGCGACGACTAACAGATGCAGTGGAAGCCTCCTCTCAGGGCACGTTCCGACCAGACAGAGATAAGGACGAGCTGACACTCGCCCTGCAGACTCCAGAGCATCCAGGACGAACACGAGGGAAAGGGGTGATTCCTTGGAAGATTGGTTTCAAGGAGGACATCCACACGTACCGGAGTCGGATGAGGAGCAAGAGAGATACCGAGGCGAAGATTGCAGACCTAGAGTTTCGGGTATCGAGCTACGAACTCAACATGCAAGAGGAGGTGGCAAGGAAGGTTGATGAACGCATGGCCGCACATCGGTCCCATGATCCCCAGCCGACCATTCCTCCTGCAATGGTGAGCCCGTCAGGAAACCGTAGCAGCTGTGCCTCAACGGGGCAGGTAGGATCACAGAGCATGGACGCCATGCAAACACAGGACGAATCGACCTGTCCCGTTGATGACATCACTCAGCGGACACCATGTGAGCTGCATATTCCTTTCAAGAACTTATCAATAAAGGTAAGATTTAGCCATTCCGCTAGTTGCTGCTTATATATGTTGATTACTAATAAATAATCTCTCACAACATGAAGGTGGCGTCGGGCATGGCCATCCCAACGGACCCTTCAGGTACTTACCACTGCAGGCCGATTCCAGCAGGATACTCGAAGGTCGAAGTTGAGTTGGTCGAAGGCGCGTACGAGGACCTCGAGCTGGATTACCCTGGAGGAGACGGTGAGACGCATCTACGAGACACATGCCATGCCATTATTCTATGGCGCAGGCGGTACATCATCCTCCCTGGGCGACAAGCGGCGTCTCGTGCACCATCTCCTCCGGCTCCGCCATCTCCTCCTCAGGATCCTGCACCGTCTCCTCCTCATGCTCCGCCAGCACCGTCTCCACCTCAGGCTCCAGCATCGACTCCTCCTCTGGATCCTGCACCGACTCCTCCTCGTGCTCCTACACCTACTCCCCCGCAAGCTCCTCTTCCGGCACCTTCAAAGTCAAGGGCCCCCCCAGCTCCACCGCCTGCCCACACAAGGGCAACGAAGAAGGCGAAAGTTGACGCCGCCAAGAACAAGGACCCGGGGTACGATTGCACGCAAGAGGAGCTTGACGCTTACGTTGCATCAGAAGTCAAGAGACAATTCAAGCCTCGAAGTCCAGAAAAGAAGATTCCTATAGACCCCAGTGTCAGGAACTTCTTCAGGGGTATGTCTGCATCTGTCAAGGAGGCCATCAAGCTATCGGACTATGAGCGAACGCTGAAGAAAGCATCTTCTGGAAAGTCCAAACCAGTCCCTCAGCTTGGAGAGCAACCAAACCAGGAGATCGAGCCGTTGGTGACCGGTAAAGAAATGACGATAGAACAATTTATTACTGACACCGGTCTAACTACGGATCAATTGCTAGGAGTCGCACCAATCGAAAAGGCGGAAGTGAAATACATGTACGAACTCGGTAAACCGCTTGTCAAGCCTGAGCTGTTGCAGTCCCTACCCACACAAATGTACAAGTTCCATCAGCTGTACATGGAGATGAGCGCCACCGGTAGAGAGATGATCGGAGCGAGGATCAGGGACACGGACTTCTTGCAAGGAGATGACATTCTCTGGATCAATTTCAGGGGAATCTACGAACTATACCAGCTGGACGCCCTCGACGTCTCTATTATGAGTTGTTGGATTTTGTAAGTATATCGTTCAGTTAGATTTCTTACTATACGTCTCCTTTAATTAATTAGGTCCTTGTATATAAGTAGACTATAGAAAATAATATACTCCCTTTTATCGTTGTAGAATGGAGATTCAAAGGGCCCAACGGCGGAGGGTTTTCGATACTGGATTCATCGACCCTCGGAAAGTAAACGTCGCAATGCTCGACCAATATCCACAAGAAACAGAGGACAATCTCGTCCATCTCCTGAAGGCGCAGCATTACAAGACGTTCATACTGTTGCCATACAACACAGAGTTAGTTTAATTTTACTGTCTTCCTACATACCAAATTTCATTCCCGTACGAACTTGCTAAGTGTTTCATATGTAATGCATCCCACGCACATTGCAGATTCCACTGGGTGCTTTTACTCTTCGACCTGGAGGCCTGCACCGTCAACGTATATGACTCAATGGATAAAAAAGAGTCTACGTTTGACAAGGTTTTCGAACTTATAGACAGGTACCGTCATAAGTTCCTTTGTTAATTAAGAAAATCTTGTTATGTTAATTGCTACTACGAATCATAGCTTTAAACTCCATGTAGGGCTTGGTATCGGTTCCGTCATTTGGTCCGCGGCAAATGGAGAGAAAGACTTAGGCGGAAGTTCAAATTTCCTGTGAGTACACATGCTCTACATTTATATTTCTCCGATTCAAATACATACAAGTTTATATTAATTAGATCTCTCGTTGTTTGTCATTTATTTGTAGTGCGCAAAGCAAAAGCAGGAACTAACTTGTGCAGCTATTACGTGTGCGAGTATTGCCACTGCCTTGCAGACCAAATCATCACCACAAGAGAGCTCGATGTACGTACAAATAAATTCAAAATTTCATTACGTAGCGATTTCTTGTTTAATTACTAATCAATTTCATACATTCATATAGTTTATTCGCATGAGGGATAACCTGACCACACACAAGGAATTTATCGCGGCGGTTCAAGAACAACTCATGGCATTCATCAACGAAGAAATCCTTGATCCCAAGGGTGAATTCTACTATGACGGAAACACAATTCACCGGTCCTTAGCTTCTGAGCTAGCAGCGAGTACTACTACGTCGAAATCGTAGCTAGCTAGGACATATAATGGATTGTAATTAATACATGACTACATATGTTTCTATATGCATGTGTACACATTTTCTATAATGTAAATATATTTTGGTCATATATATATCTATATACATATGCATTTGCATAACATATATATATATATATATATAAACCATGCAGCAACAGGGCCATGCAAAAAAAAAAAAGGTCAGCTCGATCTTTAGTCCCGGTTGGTAACACCAACCGGGACTAAAGATCAATCTTTACTCCCGGTTATTTCACCCGGGACTAAAGATAGCGATCTTTAGTCCCGGATTGGTACTCCTGGTTTGGAAACCGGGACTAAAGGGGGGTTACGAACCGGGACTACAAAGGGTTTCTCCACCAGCGTATACCGGTTCGTTAAAAGAATGTAGGAAACATGGATGCAATCTAGCCTTTAGATTATGATCCAACCGTTCAAAATTTATATGATATATGCATCTATGAAATATATTTTATGGGCTTCATCAATGTGAACCGATGTGTAATCATTTCGAGGTCGTAGCCTCTAAAGAAATGTAAGTTCTTTGCCTGATTAATCGTGTAAATGTACACAACGAATAGACTAGCAATTTGGATAGCTAAATAACACCGAATGTCAACTTTGCCACTATACACTTCAAACATACCTCCACCGCACTACAAGAAATTTGGCCTTCTATGACAAATTTCATATGACAAAACACATTTTAGTCACAGTAGTGATGCGTTTATGACAATTTTTCTTTGAATGACAAGCGTTTGTGACTAAGTTGTAATTTAGTCATAAACAAATGTCACCATGTGCCTTTCCCATTCTTTGTGACAATAGTTCATGACAAAAGCGAATGAATATGATTGTCATAATTTAAAAATCATTTTTTTTTTAAAAAAAAGGAACACCTTGGCACAGCCACGTGAGCATGTCTAGGTGGACATGTGGGACCTTAGAATATTAACTTGAAAAGAATAAAAAATGTAATATTAACTTGAAAAGAATAAAAATTGTAGCACTTCTTGCAATGAGGAGGAATCGAACCCACGTCCTCTGGCTTCCCAAGTACAAACAATGAAACAAACCACTGAGCTACTCTTCCGATGCTATGTAATCTTTGATTCTTTTCATCTTGTACACTATTGCTGGGAGACATAAGAATCCCAACGCACATCTGGCAAGGACCGACGCCGCTGCCCTTTCCCCATCGCGGCTGCTGGACCCGACGCCGCCGCCACCGCCCTTTCCCCATCGCGCCAGATGGACCCGACGCCGCCGCCCTTTCCCATTGCTCCTGCTGGAGCCCGACGACGCAGGCTGTAGCCCCACCCTGTCCCCAACGTAGCGCCCGGCTGTTGGAGCTCGACGCTGTCGCCCTTCGCCCAACGCGGCTGCTGGAGCCCGGCACCGCCGGCTGGATCCCAAGCCCCACCCCGTCCCCAGGAGCTCGATGCCAGCTTGCTGCAGCTCCAGGACGCCGGGCTTCATGGGCACAACTGCTGGGAACGCCCCCAAGAGCCCGACGCCGACGACAGTAGCCCGCCCCCGCCTCTAGGATCTCGACGGCTGGGCCGGCTGGCTGCAGATCCTGGCCGCCGGGCTTCACGGGCTCAACCGCTAGGAAGCCCCCAAGAGCTCTAGCCTGGGATCACTTCAGACGGCGGGTGAGGTCGACCAGAGACTGCCCCATCCCCTTCAATTAGGAAGAAAGGTACATATGAGAAGAACTTATGTTTTGGTTTTAAATTTTGAACTGAAACCACAGACTTGAAGTGATAGAAATAGGAAAATAGTAGTCTGGGCAATAATCAGTCATTGATTCGATGCTTGTCTTATTTCAATATGTAACAGATGGAAAGAACTTGGATGAATTGTAAGTTGTTTAGCAAGGAGCATCCGGAGGGGGTCACCGAGTTCATGGACTTTGTTTCTAAAAATTTGAGTGGCAGTCAGAAGATATTATGCCCATGTCGTAAGTGTTTGAATGGTTACATCAATATAAAGGACGTGTGGAGGATGACTTACTTATGTACGGGATGTCTAACACATACACTCGGTGGATACATCATGGAGAACCATTGGTCATGGTCACTGAAAATGTTGAGCATTTGAATGAAGATGTTAGCTGCAATGTTGAATTTGAGACGAATGAGCCTCAGGATGACCCAGAAGATGATCAAATGTACCGTATGGTACAGGATCTGTACCCAGATCAAAATCATGGACCAAGAACGAAGTCAAAGTTTGCCACCATATTAGAAGAGATGAAACAGGTGCTACACCCCGGTGGTCCCTATACTAGGTTTTCTTTTGTGGTGAAGTTGCTCCACATCAAGTCATTTTACAGAATCAGCAATGTTGCATTCAGTGCTTTTTTGGACCTTTTAAGTTCAGCATTTCCAAATTGTTCTCTCCCTGCATCCTATGCTGAAGCGAAGAATTTTATTCGTGCATTAGGACTTGGATATGAGTCAATACATGTGTGTCCGAATAACTGTGTTCTTTTCCGAAAGGAGTTGGCTAAAATGGATGCATGCCCAATATGTGGTGCTTCAAGATGGAGGGATGCAGATAGCCGAAGGCAGATTCCAGAAAAGGTTCTAAGGCATTTTCCTTTGAGAGGTGAAATCCCAATAATATTGTGCAAGCTTGAGAAGATTTTCCCGCCTGCCTTTTTTGATGTGATGGTGCACTTGTGCATTCATTTAATTGATGATGCAATCCTAAGAGTTCCAGTTCAATATGGATGGATGTACCCTGTAGAGCGTAGGTTGTTGACCTTGAAACGCTTTGTGAGGAAGATGGCAAGGCCTGAGGGCTCCATTGCAGAGGCATATGTCGCAAATGAGTGCTTGACTGCTTGCTCAAGGTATTTTGCTGATGTTGACACTAGGCACAATCGTGATGGTAGGAACAAAGAGCGTGTTCCTATGAGTAGATGTGGTTTATCTATTTTCCAGCATGGGGCAAATCTGTTGGGGGCGCCTCCCGGCCACATCGAGTGGAGAATGGAGATACATAATAAGAATATAGAACATAGTACCTACATAGTAGATTTCGACTAACAGCCCCATCGATTACTAAAAAGAATAAGTGAAAACCAAAATTTAGTTTTGAAGTTGATTTTAAAATATTTTCAACATTGTTTTTTGGCATTAGATTTTAAGTCGCTAAAAATACATATACAAGAGTTTTACACGTAGATTACTTTTTTTTTCTGCTAATAAGCTATTATGGCTTATAATCAGCTTTTGGATAACCAGTGATGCATTAATCCTTTTCGGAGAATTAGACGGCAAAGCTCTTTGCAAGACAATACCAATGGTAACCGCTTGACCTTTTCTAAACGGAGACATAATGAAACGCTTATACTCCCGTTCAGGTTATAAGACGTTTTGATTTTGGTCAAAGTTAAACTGCTTCAAGTTTGACCAAGTTTATAGGAAAAAAAATATTTTCAACTCAACACAAATTTATTATGAAAATATATTCAATTGTTGATTTAATGAAACTAATTTGGTATTATATATATTACCATAATTGTGCATAAACTTAATCAAATTTGAAGTAGTTTGATTTTGACCAAAGTTAAAACGTCTTGTAACCTGAAACGGAGTGAGTAATAAAAAACACTTACCATCAACTCTTAATTCACACTTTTTTTCTGTAGTGTTTAAGTGGACCCTAGTACCTCCTCAAACCATATTGAGGAGTATTGACCATGGAATAATTTATTTGTGTACTCCCATTGTCCCTATAAACTAAACTTAGTACGAGATATGGCGGCAACAAGGCGTGCCGACGGCGGATCCGGCGACGGCGAGGCATGGCGCTGCCGGATCCACTGCCTCGCGAGTCGCCGCCGCCGGACACCCCGCCTCGCGAGTCACTGCCCCTGGACCCCCGCCTAGCGAGGCGTTGAGAGGAGGGAGAGAGGCGGAGAAGCGTGAAAAATATTGGTGGGCGGTGGATTTTTTGCAGCGGTGCTCTTTACCAAAGTGGACTGCCAGGGAAAATAGCACATCTTCGCTGGCGGTCCGCTTAACTCGGCCGCTAGCGAAAATCGCTAGCGGTCCGTAGCCCCCCCACCCCTCGTTATGTTTTTGCCGATGGTTTTCGTGTATGACCGTCAGCGAAAATGATAATGTAACGCTATGAAAAATCTTTTTTCTAGTAGTGAGTTACAACTACCTTTTAATTCGTCCCTGAGAGTCCTAAAGGCCATCGCTAATCCATCTTACACTTGCAAGGAATCAAACCTGTACAAAGGGGTTATACAACAAGGGTGAGCACTTTCGTACTCAGCAAGTCATTGAAAGCAAAATGTATATGCATGAATAATAATATATAAGATCTGTTCAGATTGTAGCCAAAATAAACCTTACCAAATTTTGGCAATATTGCCAAAATTTTGGTAGAATTTCTTATGTATATATCAAATTTTGCAACAAACCAAATGTAGACATTTTTTTGCAACTTTGCCAAAAAAAAATAGTATGATTGAAAATGGCATCAATCTGAGCAGCCCCTAAATCTATATACTATAACACTATACTTTTGTAACATCATCACCTTCATCGTCATCAAAAGTAAAGTATATTTCTGTTTTGTAAAAGAGTTTTCGGAAGGAAGCGTATAAAAGCTAGAGTATACTCGTAACATTGAATAGAGTTTGTAGCAACTCCCGGTAGGCTCCAATCCAAGAGACAGGCGTGAATCACAATTTATGCATCGCGCAGGCTTGTATCATTGTACCCATAGATACTCTTAACATGTTTGACTGTCTCACTTCACTAGATGCGGCACCATGCTAAGAGTACAGAACTTTTCCCCTACTTCAATTTATTACACTCCATGTTTGTGTTGAGCCTATCAGCTCTCCATACCACCGCGCTACTATATGCACCTAGAATGCACATCATCGGCATTCATGAGGTTTATATCATCTCCCATCCTACTACTACGTACCCATGTAGAGTATAATAAACTTGATAAGGTACTAGGTCCAGCCCGTCTTAAAATGGATCTATGGTCGACACGGTACATATGGTTCTCTGATACGAGTGAGGGGATGATTAGTCCTTATATTTATACACCGTATGTAGGGAGAGCCCTGACCGGCCATCATCATCAATCATCATATCCCTGAGCTCCCCCTACCCACCATACTAGTATCCCAATGATCTCTATCATCATCGGTTTGTCAATCATATCATCATAGTTCATATTATTATATTCTAGAAAATATATTTTGATGCAATACTAGGAGAAATATTTTTATGAAATAGGTTTTTAAGTTGAAATAGAATTATCATCTATCAACATTGTCAGGATTATGGATACCACATACCTAATAGTAGTTGACTAAATCTTGGTAGGACCCACCACATACCATGTCTTATACGGGAACTGACTTCGGATATGGAGGGAGTTCCGGATAAGGAAAGACAACCAGAGTTCTACATGGAAACGACAAGGACTACTTGGATTGTATTCATATTGGTTTCTATAGTTCTACTTGGACAAGGGGACACCTATGGGTATAAATATAAGACACCCACCATAGAAGAGACAATCAACATACAAGGAACAACAGAAGTCACAACATACAAGCCAACATACGCTAAGACAAGACGTCGGATATTGACTTCGGGGATAAGCACGGCTAGTCCCCTACGGTGTCTCCGGATACTGTCAAGAGAGACGAAAGCGCTATCTCTGATCTCGTCGGGCACGGACTCGAGGAGGAAGACTACCCTGTTGTCGACTACGAGTCAGACCTTCAGACCGCCGTATCGACAACAGTTAGATAGGCTACCCCAAATATTATACTGTTTTGATTATGGTGAATAAGAGTAATATCGGCTTCGGGCAACAGGATGTAGGGTTATTACCTGACAATTCAGGGGCCTGAACCTGTATAAAAATCCTGTCTCCATCTCTTTTACCTCAATCTCGCGTATATCCTAGTACCAACGATTCCCATACTATGCAAATACCGGAATTGCGACATCAAACGTCGACAAACATGATCATAAGAGAGACTTGCCTGACTTTTATCTCCAGTGTAGTTATTATTTGGCAAAATAATAGTTTGTTAAATAATAATCTAAGTTCGGCACTTTTTATCTCCAGTGTTAAAAGTGTGAGGCTTCACATAAGGTGTGCCATATCATGTAATTATATTTGTTTTGTATGGACGGAGCGAACATTTAAATGCAAGGTAATCAGTATCGAGATATTATATAAGACCGTTTTGTTATTTGTAGTAGGAAGAAGTCCAAATAGTCGCCTAAACATTGAATGGAAGTCCGTTTAGCACCCTAAACATTAAAAACATTAAAACTGGACATCCAACTCCCTGAACTTTACCATACCATCCATATTACCCTAAGATGGTTTTGGATGGTGGTTTGCATATTTTGAAAGCTTAAATGAATAACTTTGAATAACTAATCTAACATATTTGCATATCATCAGTTCTAAATCACAAATTTATCCTTATATAGTTATGCCATACAATTATTATGTTAGTACTTGTTTGTAAATGGTAGCTAACAAGGAGTAAAAAGAAAGATTTAGATCGGAATTTTAATATATATGTCCAATATGTATGTTATGTGATCAAACTCATCAAACTTATATACAAATTAGATAAAAACTACTATGCGAAACCATCTTAGCGGGTTATATAAACGGTATTGTAAAATTTAAGGGGTTCAATATCTGGTTTCAAAGTTCAGAATGCTAAACGGACTTCCATCCAATTTTATTAAATTTTTTTTGAGGTGGGGGGTATTTGGACTTTCTCCTTTGTAGTATCATAGGATCGAGATACTACCATAGGATCGGGATTCAAGATACTATCAGATTTTTAAAAATACATATTTTATATAAAATATATAATATGTTGTATAAATTAAATAATATAATATTGGTTTTGATAAATTTAATCGGTTTTTATGTGAATTTGAGCATATTTTTTACACTATTTTCAATCACCTTATTTTAAATAATATTTTATAGGATTGTAGGAATCTAACATCGAGATACTACCTAAAATTTTATAGAATTGTGTGGAGATTGGGATACTATAAAAGTTAGAATATTATGTAAGATCGGTATGTTTCAGCTTGATAGGATATTATTATCGTAAAATACTAAGGGTCTGTTTAGTGAAGACTGGCAGCGGGTTTGTTTAGTGAAGGCAGGTAGCTACCGCTTCTCTCACAATTATAAGCTCTCCCTAAATTTTTTTTTTTCAGATTCTGTTATAAAAACCATAAGATAAACTAAAAGCCACGAGCTTTTACCAGATTATCCGTCCCAAACAAACCCTACTATACGAATCAGATAATGACAACCTTGGTTAACTGTCCCCGTCGTGAGCGCGCGCTCAAGCAGACAAGCAGTAGCCTTCTCCGATCCTTTAATTTTGGCGGAATCCAAACTTGCTCAAGCTAATTTCGTTTTCTACTCATTTTCTATTAAATTGAAAGTTTGTTTGAAATTGAAAAGTTGAAAGTTTATGTGTGTAGAAAAATTGAGATGTGATGGAAAAATTGAAAGTTTAAAGAATTATTTTGGACTAAACCCGGCCTAAAGAAGAGAACTTCCCATTCGAGTCCACAACTGTTTGTCATGGACCCGCCGCCGGTGCCAAGCCCATTCCGCCGCCGCCGCCTCGGCGACGCCGGCGACGAGCCATCGCCGGTGTCCATCCTCCCCGACGACGTACTGGCCGAGATCCTCCACATCCTCCCGCCTGACCCCTCCTCCCTCCCCTGCCTCTCCCTGGTCTGCAAGCGCTGGCGCCGCCTCGTCTCCGACCCGGCCTTCCACCGCCGCTTCCACTCCCACGCCCGCCGCCGCCGAGCTCCCCTCCTCGGCTTCTTCCACAACTCCTTCAACGTCCCCTGCTTCGTCCCCACCGGGCGAGCCCCCGACCGCGTCCCCGCCGAGGCCTTCTCCCTCCGCCGCCACCCCGGCCGCTGGCTCTTCCTCGGCTGCCGCGGCGGGCGCGCGCTCCTCGCCTCGCCGTTCTCGGTGTGCCGCCTCCTCATGGTCTGGGACCCACTCTCCGGCGAGCCTTGCTCCGCGGCGCCGCCTTGCTCTGCGACGCTGGCGAGTGCCACCGCCCCACCCCATTCCGCGTGGTCTTCGCCTTCATCGACCAGCGCCGCCGCCCCTGCGCCTGCGTCTACTCCTCGCTTTCCGGCGAATGGGGCGAGGTGGTCTGTGGGAGGACGGTGATCCCCCACGATTTGGATTTGGGATTAGGGCTTAGACATCTTGATGAATCCATCTCGGGGGAAAAGATTTCTGCCATTGACATGAAGCCTCCTGTTCTTGTTGGGAATGTTCTCTACTGGCTGCTCGTGGAGAACTGCATCCTTGAGTTCAACATGGATGCCAAGAGCTTGGCTGTGAATGTGGTTTCTGGCCCAGATCTTATGTATTTTCCGGCTCCGAATTGGAGTCTGCAGATTATGCTGGCTGAGGGTGGTAGCAAGCTTGGCTTCGGCGCAGTGAAATTTTTGTACCTCAAGCTGTGGGTGCGCAAGAGTGACTCGGATAGCACTGCCAGTTGGGTGATGAGGAAGAGAATTAAACTGTGCATGTTCATTCCTCCTCCTCATCCACCATTGCGGCAATTGGAGGCGCTTTTTGATCGATTGATAGCGTGGTCTGGGCTACTTGGTTTTACTGAGGATGGTAGTGTGGCATTTCTACAGACGCCAAATGGCGTCATCATGCTCCAGCTTGATACTATGGAGTTCAAGCTGGTGCTCCCTATGGAGAGGTTGCATTGGGTTTATCCCCATTCAAGCTTCTATTTGACAGGTACATCTGTTCGTGATTCTAGCAAGTAATGAACTGAGTAGTAGTTACCTTGGTTGGCTGTTGAAAAGTTGAAACACTACCACTTGAATGCCGAACTGTAATTCATATCAGATAAAAATACGTGTAGATCTGCTATATTTCTTTTTAAGTGTAGGGACTTGTACTATTGTTACGTTTTGAGTTTCAGTTTGACAATGAAAATTTACGGAACCATATTAATCATTTTCACCTATCATGCATGTTATGTACAGCAAAGTACTCAACTTTATTTTAGAAGAGCTATTGTTTAAATGCTTGAGAAACCATCTTTATTACTAGCATTTATCTTGCACCTATCATGTATCTTATGTATAGCGAAATACCCTTACCTTTTATTAGAAGAGTTATTCTTTAAATACTTAGTTCAATTCAATTCTAACCCCCCCCCCTCCCCCCAGAACAAACACCAAAAAAGGATATAGTTAAACCTGGTAACAAACACTTTTTACAGAGCTTGACTTCCTAGTGCATACACATAGTGGTAGATGGATCCATCCTTTTAATTCATATCTTAATATTTTTATAGTAGGGACTAATTCATTCTCTCTTGTTGCTGGCTTGCTGCTAGATGGTTGCATTATTTGAGAAAGGCCAGCAAGATGATTGGACTTCAATATTGAAACAAAGAGAGTATTTACATCTTGCTGTGTAATATGCTGCCATGACGACCATTTTCTAGTAACATTTCAGCCTCTTGCCAATAATAGTCCTGTCGGGATTGGTAGACATGTTATAAGACTGACTCTGAGCATGTATATGAATGCTTTTGTTAATCAGTTGTGTGCTCCTCAAATGCATGTATGGTACTTCAACTGCTGGTTTATATGATACTCCTATCTGATAGATCATCTGAGGCATTTCAATTGGGGGAGCAGAGATTACTGAATGTGTTTTCCACAATCTTTTATATGGCGTGTAGCAGTGTGAGGTCTCTATATGCTGGCACCTGATATGTGCCACTTGCACATGCTGCTGTAAACTTCAGGTGCTCCCCTGGGGATTATAAGCTTGATGTACTTGATAATGTTCATGGCAATGTATCATGTTCTTTTTTACTTGAAGGATCTACTTAGCTTGTACTGTTGGACACCAATATTGCACAGCTGTCATAATGGTCAGCCACATGATGCAATGCTGCTGCTCTGACTGTTCCAAGCAACAAGAAACTGACCATGGTTAGTTTATCCCTGTTTCGAACCAAAAAAAACCTGAAAGGCTGATATGGTGATATCATCCTAGTTGTTGATATGTTGAGAGTATTAGGAGAAAAGTTTATCATGGTTGCATGCACAGGCTTGAGAAAAGTTTATCCTTGCTGCCGGGTGGGTTTGTCTTATAAATGGACTTTTACTTGTTGTAAGTGTTCATTTTACTTCTGTTTTGACTAGGGAAGTTGATATCAGTGGTGATTTGTATGGTAACAGTCAAAGAAGACAGCCATCATCATCTGGCATTATCAACGTAGAGGGAGAAGGTCACACTGAAGCGGCTTCATCTTTTCGCTTATGCTTATGTTTATCAGTTAAAATTTAAATTTTTAACATTAAATTTGAGGTTGATTTTGGAGTTTTTTCATCGATGTTTATTTTTCAACTTTTGTTTTTATATCGCTAAGAACACGTACATAAAAATTTTATTCATAGGTTATTTTTCATTCGCAAATATGCCGTAGGGCCGCTGAGTTCTAGTGCGTGGTGCGCCAACACGACTACTCCATCTGTCCTATAAAAAATTAAATCGTAGGGCTATGTCCAGATTTATTTTCAGGATTTGTTTTTTTTAGAACAAAGAGTATATCTGAATCCACGTCACAGGTTAATCCACACCCATTCACCGGTTTTGGTCCGAAACGTGAACCCTGGAATCTAGATTTGAGGATTCGGATCCTCTGCATTAGAGAAGTTAATGAAGAGTGTGGCATTAGCTCCAATCCTGTCCATCCATCTCTATCCAACGGCTGTGATTAGTGAACCTCTTTCTTATTTATGCTGTTCATATATTTTGACAGGGAAGAGATGGCTACAAGTCTGAATGTTCATGGTTCTTGCATGTTTGAAGCACTGACTTGTGTCACAAACCAAAGTAAAGCTTCATAATAACTACTGGTAGGGTTTGCGTGTGTGCGTTCATAGAAGTGGGTGTGTGCATGTTGTGAGCGTCTATATTTGTACTGTGTTTCTCAAAAAAAAATAACAAGGTTGATTGAGGGAGTAAGTACAAAGGGCATTTCACATAGGGAAATAACAGTATACCCTGATTAAGTACAAAATGTATTTTAGGGAGGAAGAAAATAATATTATAATCCATAAACCAAAATATGCAGAGCAGCATAAAATCCACCTCTCCGATGTCACTGCTTTCCACCAAATAGATTTCCTGCACTGGAATCATTCTGCACAATAATGTAGCAATAAGTGCATACCAATAATGAACAGAATATAGTTTGCTAAATCCACTTCAGTGTTGAGAGAAATTGAAAGAGGTATGGCATGTGAGAGAGAAAATGAAAAGACTCATATGAGGCAAGTTTGAAGAAATTGGAGGGAAAAGGAGGAGTCACGCTCTGTTTTAGCGTCTAAAATTAACATGGGTCTGCTGCTCTTCCTCTAAGAGCAGGTACAATAGCAGGCTATAAGACAGCTGCAAATATATTTTAAGGAAATAAATGAGGAGAGGAAGAGCAGCGGGCTACAGATTTGTAGCAAGCTGTAACATAGACTCCAAGACGTTATGTGTGTATGATAGGTGGGACCAGGTATTAATAGTGTAATATGTAACTATTGTATGAATGAGCTATTAGATTGGCTATATATGAATTGGAGCTAGTAGTTGGCTATGCTATTAAACTTGCTCTAAGGCCCATTTAATTTTTTTGCTTTATCTAATGGAGAACTAGCCGCAACCATTGGATGGATGGATAGGATAGGAGCTAATGCCACCCTCTGCATTAGAGTAGATACAATAGCCAGCTATAAACATATTTTAATAAGATAAACGATGAGAGAGAAGAGCAGCGGGCTACAGATCTATAGCCAGCTACAGCACAGACTCCAAGACACAATGTATGTATATCAGGTGGGACCAATATTAATAGTATAGTAAACAATTATTGTATAAATTAGCTATTAGATTGGTTATAGATTAATTGGAGCTAATAATAGGCTATACTATTAAACTTGCTGTTAGCTTCTCTAATGCAGAGGATCCGAATCCTAGATTCGACTGTGTTCAAGCCTTTCTGTATCGTACGGTACTCCCTCGTGTGTTCTGCTGAGTGTTCTGACACGCACACGTGTAACCAACCGATTTTTTTTGCCTTGTTGGGCTATTTCTCTCTCTCCTCTCTCCGTCTCCTACTGCTGCAGCTACTGCCCCTGCCCGCCGCCGCCGCCGCCGCCGGACTCCTCCCCTCCGCCGCTTCGCCTCCTTGCCGGCGAGCAGGCCGGACCGACCGTGCGCGCGGGCGGCGTGGACGGGGCGGGGCTCCTCTCCTCCCCGAGTCCCCGCCCTCCCCTGTGAGTGAGCCCTACTCTACTCTCGCGGAGGGCGGCGGGCGAGGAGGGGCTAGCTGCACCTGGCCTCTTCCACCGACCTGCGTCTCGTGTCGAATCGAATCCAAGGTATTCCTCGTCCTCTCCTCTCGTAGCGCTTCCTCATCCTCCGAGCTAGATCCGTCCTTACCCTTACTTTGGGGATTGCTTTGTTTCAGCTGTAAGTTAAATGGTATGATGGTGCTAGCTAGTATATTCTGATGACCTCGATTTGAGTATTGATTTAGGGTGGAGGTTTTAAATCAACAATGTTTTGGGTTAAGGAATATATATGGATGGCTATTCTAACCACATTGTACTGATTTTGCCCTCACTAATTTCCATTTTCCTTATACACACCATTGTATAATAACCTACTTCAAACTTGTGTCTGTCACCGGCAACTATGCTTTGTACGCAAACTTGTAGCCATGGTTCCTGAATTGAATGACGGTAGGCATGAAAAGATGGACGGATTGTGACATCATTATTTTTTTTAGTAGCTTGATATAGGCTTATGTTGTTATTTGTTACTCCATCCGTTTCACAATGTAAGACTTTCTAGCATTGCCCACATTTATATAGATGTTAATGAATCTATACATATAATAATGTCTAGATTAATTAGTATCTATATGAATGTGGGCAATGCTAGAAAGTCTTATATTGTGAAACGGAGGAAGTAGTTCGTTGCAAGGAAATGTCAATGCTCAATGACAAGAGCTGAAATTATTCGTGTACAATTGTGCAGGTCACTTTTTTCTTATCAATAAAAGCTGGAGCAGAAGTCAGTATCCACAGTGAATGATATATACCGTTGTCTTTGTTTCTATAGACTATAGCAAACTTCAGATATTGGCTATTGCAAAGTATAGCCGGGGAAACCATCACACCTTTGCCAAAACTACCGCTGCTAATCAAAATACTAGGATCTAAGGTAATGGAGTGATCTTGAACAGCTATCGGGTTTTTTGTGCATCTTGTCACCATTGTTGCTAATGTTGTTCCATCTTTGGCATTGAGTATAGGTTGTTTCCTGGTGACAATAATTAAAAAAAAATAATGCGCCTTTTGCTTCTTTTTTAAGTTGAAGTTGCATTGCCCATCCTTCCTCACCATGGCAAACATGCTTCCAGACGATGCCCTTATTGAGATCTTACTTCACCTCCCAAAACACCCCACGTGCCTCCTTCGTGCATCCCTTGTCTGCAAGCACTGGCGCTACCTCATCAGAGATAACAAATTTATCAAGCGCTTTCGTGCGTTCCATCAAACACCCCCTGTTCTCGGCATCTTCACCAATTCCACCAGCATCCCTCGCTTTCTACCCATTGGGAACCCTCCTGAATGTGTCACGGTAGGAGCATTCTCCCTACCTGACCCCTACTGGCATGTCCTTGGCTGCCGCCACAGCCGTGTCCTCCTCATTAGCTCAAGCTGGAATAGTCTACAAGTGTGGAACCCCATGACTGGCAACCGGTATGCTGTACCAGTTACACCTGATGTGAATCCTCGTATCAATTATGGACGTGTGCCCGAGAGCCATGCTGCGGTGCTTTGCGCAGCTGGCCACAATGACCATGGTGACTGCAGCTCATGCCCCTTCTTCATAGTATGGGTATTCACCAATATAGGCTATGCTTATATCTCTAGGTACTCGTCAGAGAAGGACACCTGGGACATGATGGCATCTTCACCAGCACCATCGGAGGTTGATTCCAGGCCTAGCATTCTTGTTGGGAATGTCATATATTGGCCACTTAAGTCAAAGCATATTCTTGCATTCGAGCTGGCCACTTCTAGATTATATCATATTGAGTGTCCACCAGAAACACATAGTGTATACAGAAGGAATGTCCATATCATGAAGGCAGAGGATGGTGGGCTAGGTCTGGCTACCATGACAGGGTTCAACCTTCAGTTATGGGCATTGGAGATTAATTCAGGGGGCGTTACAGGATGGGTGCTGCGCAAGACCATTGAGTTGGGTGCAGTCCTTCCGCTGGAAGTGCCCTCTGTACCGTTGACGGATAGTCATTTGGTTAGAAGGCCTCCAGTCAGGATATTAGGTCTTGTGGAGGAAGATGATTTGTTTTTTATATGGACGGCAGTTGGTGTCTTTGCTGTCCAGCTCAAGTCACTGCAGTTCAAAAAGGTGTTTGAAGCTGATGTATCTGCAACTTTTTATCCCTACACCGCCTTTTATACCACAGGTGCTGACATTAATATGCTTTTACTTCAGTTTGTGTTTTGTTCTCTGTTTAATCCTGCATATGCCTGTTAAATTTATTACAAAGACTATATTAAACTAGTTTTACCTGGCGAAAATATTAAACTAGCTTTGATAGTTCTTGTTGCAACAACAGAACCGTATTTGTTTTATTTCAAATATTATGTTCCATTAGCGGAAAGAGCTTGGTTGTTTTGTTACCTCTTTTTTTTGGCAAATGAAGAATGCTATATACAAGCTAGATTGCAATCGTATATCAGGAAATTGACTGATCATGTATGTCGACATGTCGTCTTTTATGGGAGATGAAGTTTTAACTTCCCCCATAACTCTGTTTAGGCTAAATGTAGTTTTGCAGAAATTTTCTGCCTAAATCTATTTTGTACTTTGTTGATCTAACATTCCTTACACTTAGTTTCTCCATTTATTGATTGATTATTTTTCTCTGTTTGTTGAGGCCTTAGCATGTTTTGCTTCCTCCTTTTGCTGGCAGGTGCTGCGTGAGGTTACCAGTGATACTATTGGAGCTTGTATATGATGTGTCCTTTGGGACCATTCTTCTGCATAGCTGTGCAGAAGCTGCTACTAGTTTGTTGGAGAACCTGTTGGAAGACAGCTTCTGCTTGTTTGTATAATAAGATCAGCTTCTAGTTAGTATTACTTATAAGTTGCTGCAGAATTTTGTCGTTTGGCAGCACCGCAGAATTTTTTACTGTGTAGAAGCTGTAGAACATCTATATATCACTTTTCAATTTGAAGAATTGTAAAGAGAGGCAATGGCCGCATTCTAAGCAGGTGCTCTATGGAAAATCCCTAGTTGCGCATGTCATATAGTTAGCCATACTAGTATATAGTAGTATGTTGGTAATAAAGCTCCACGTGTGGACACCTCTGCTTGTTGGGCCATCTTGGTGGGAGGATTCATTTTATGTTTTGAGTGTCACATACTCCTAAGATATTTAATTGATAGTTAAAATAGCTTACTTGGTTGTTTTGTACTACCTCTATCTCATAATGATTATATTTCTAGGATTTAAATTTATCTCACAATAGAGTATTATTTATCTCATCAATCTTTTTTTTTTCAAAATTTTTCCTATTCTATCCTTAACCACCCTCCCACCTTTAACTTTAACTATATACCATTTAACGAGGGGCACTATAGATTTTCTTATCAAACCTTAATACATGCTAAACAACCTAGAATTGTAATTATTTTGAGAGGGGTATTAGGAAATACATGTAGAGACAAGTTATATTGTTATATTGGAAAGAGTCTTTCTTTATCAATTTCTTGCTACATCACTAAAAATATTGACATGGCATTCTATTTAATGAGAATGAAACTTTTATTGGGAGTGACCTCATTTATCTCATGCATTGCAGCAGTATTCTAAACTCCTTTATTAAAAAACCATTGGTATTACGACTGATATCTTAATATTCACTTTGATGCAATGGTCGACTGTAGCTAAATGTGAAAGCTCCTTTGTTTATAATAACTATATGGGTATCCCGGCAGTAACGGATAATTGTGTAATAACATAGTATATATGAGTTAAAATTTTAAATAATTATGTTGTATGGTGTGGTTTTTGAAGAGAAAAGATGCAATTTGCCCATCCAAAGTTTAACTATAATTATGATGTGGCTTTATGAGAGAAGATAAATTAGCATTAAGTATATTGTGTTCTTTTGTGTGAGTTCCCAATTCTACCTACATCGTTGTTCGTACGCACGTTTTTCTAAATTGCTAAATGGTACGTTTTTTTCAAAAAGAATTTATATATCAAAGCTACTTTAAAAATCATATTATTCCTTTTTTTTTAAAAAAAATAGCTAATACTCAATTGATCATACGTTAATATGTTGTTTTGTTTTTCGTGCGGAGGAAAGTAGTTTCCAACTGAACCAACCTAAATGAGGATGAACTTCAAAGATAAATAGGATTAATGTAGTTAGTGGATTGTAACTGTAACAAAGAAATAGTGTTTGAATGTAACATTTTTATGCTGGCCTGAGTACTCGTTGCAACTTGTGACCTTCTCCGGGCGCCCATTGCGAAATTAGTGGTGACCTTTACATTGTAGTAGGAACAAAGTTCTTTCACGTACCTCAACCATAAACCCCAACTACAAAACCATTTGTGATTTTCTTTGAGTGCCCAGTTTTGTATCATAAATTTATTGGGCACCACGTAGAACGAAATCGTAATCCAAGCTATCCAGAGAATCGATTTGTATTGGTTTTAATAGTAGGGGAATTTCTATACCTGCTTTGCGGAACTCGATCCATAACGAAGGGGTGTGCGGTAGACTTTTTTCCTGTCACGGTCCATTCCTGTCAATCTGGGCCAGAGGGCTGAAATTGGGCCTTCTAAACAAAGTACTTGCCATCGAGGAAAAAAAAAAAAAGAAAAAACAAAACCCTCGTCGCTGCTCTCCCCGACTCCCCGTCCTCCTCCCCTGCGACGACGGCGGCGGCGGCGGCGGTGGCGTGGCGGCTCTTTGTCAAGTTAGTCGCCGTCGTCTCCCTCCTCCTTCTTCTCTCCCTTCCCCGATTTGTTTCCGCCATAGCTGTTGCTGATGGGGCAGTGAGGGTCTGAGGGAGAGGGCAGAGAGGCAGAATGGGGATGGCAAATTTTGTGCTCGCTGAATATGTTCGTAGGTTGCAATTGAGCTTCCTACCAAACGATGGATTCAGGGGGTTGGGTTTTGGGAGGTGGATTGACCGACCCAATCCCTATTTGGATTGTTCTTCCCCCACTTGTCAAATAAAACCCTTGATTAGTTTTTGAGTACATTTATGTTCAAGTGAGAATGCACAGTCAAGCTAAATGCATGGACCAGGATGGCTGCTCTGGTTATGAATTGCAATCCCCCGCAAAATATGCTTAAGTACTATTAGAAAATGGGTTCAGTAGTATTTACAAGCTTAACAATGGTTACGGACGAACATTTGAGTTGATGGATATTATGACTGAAAATCGACCAACCTAGGAGGAATTAGGTTGCCTGTTGTTTTGATTAGGAAGAAACATGCACCCAAATTCGCCTCGACGAGGGCTTGAACTTGGGTGGTCTGGGCGTACATCCACGCCCTCGACCAACTTATGTCAGGTCAATTTTTGTGTGTGAAAACATAACCTTTGTATTTTATTGTTTATTCACATATCTTTGCTATTGTAATTTGTTGTACTGAAGCGATGTCAGGGAAAGTTTATATCTACGGTTGTTATGGGCATCGAAGTACATTATTGCTCAGTTCACTAGGGCTTACTGAAACAGAATTAAGATGAATATTATATCTTTCTTTAGCTAGGCATGTCAAATTGCTGAAGAAAACGTGCTCCCAAACTGTCATTACCCATTTGAGCATGTTGCCTTATCATGTTTTCGCCCTGCTTTCCACTAACTGATGAGTGCAGAATTTATGCTTGTGCAGGGTAATTTATCCTATTCGCAAAACTGGTACATCAGGAGAAATAACCAAGTGAACGTGATAGTAGTATACCACTGGTAGTGCACCACGGCAAAGCGAGGTGTCCTGATTCCTGAACAGCAGGATGCGGTTTGCGGTGACAAAAGTATGTGGTGGTGGGGCAAAGGCACGGGCAGGCATGCTCCAGATTGCTGGCAGTAACATTGAAACACCAGCGCTACTTCTGTCCACACGCAAGGGGCTTCCAGCATTTGTGTCCCGTGATCTCCTTGCATCCCTCTCTCTCCCTGACTCTCTCCTTCTCCATGTGTGCCCTACCCATTTGTAAGTTCCCATCCTTGTATTCCCTGGTGTAAGTGCCTCTCTCCAGGAGCTGGGTGGTCTGTTTCTTCTAGTGAATTTGATCACCTTTCCTTTGTTTTTTCAGTATGGAAGGCCCTCCATCAAAAACAATATCAAATATTGGTGGTTTGCATCATATGTTGGGTCTTCCTGATCATATCCTCATAGCCGCAGCTGGTGATTCTATTGAGAGTTTACCAACAAGTGAAGCAAGCAATAAATTTGGTGCTTCCTTTGAGACACCAGCTGGCCGAAGACTGGTTGGTAGCTCTAGTAATTTCTTTCTCCAAATTTTGTGGATGCATGTTTAGAGTCTTTTTATGTACAACTAATCAACTTCCTTCAATTTTTTTAAGGTTAAACCATCAGATTATATGGAATTGATTTCCTGCATGAAGCCTAATTTGTGGGCAAGTTTGGCAGATGAGGTTCCAGCTTGGGTTACTGAGAAACGAAATAAAGTCTCTGTTGAGCGCACATTACGCTGGCTTGATGCATGTATTGCTTTGGATGAGGTATGAGTTAATCTATATTCAGCTGAAGTGTTTAGTGTTTCTTCCTGAATTTTAGCCATATGTCTGTTTAGATTTTATGACTTCCTTTTGAGTTATGTCAAAAGTGAAACTTCTCAGACTAATTTTAAGTTTAGAGAACCTAAGTACTAATGTAATTAATTGAGATGCTGCTACATGCTTGAAGGCCTCTAGTGCAAGTATCTTGTCACAAAACTACAGGAATAAGAAATAAAATGTAAATTCTCTGTAATATTACTTAATCTGATGTCTTTATCATACACATGTTCTTTTTTACATGTGTTAATAAAATATCATCATCAAGCTCATGCAGTTGCTTTACATTACTGAAAATGTTTTAGTTTTGTGGGACTGATCCATGCAGGATTCTGGTGCAAATACTTTAGGTGTAGTTGTGGGTGGATCTAGTATAGAACTACGGAAGCTATGTGCCACTGAAGTGTCAAAGAGGAATGTGTCAGGTTATTTTCATTTACCACTCAACACCATTAACTTTCAGTAGTTATACTTCCTTTTTACTTGTTTCTTACGACAAGGATGGAGTATAACATTTGCTCAGCTTTGCACCATTGTCGATTCAGTAAATGTGACTCTGTATGATACTTCAAATTTAAATTACTCAGATAAACCATTATATGTTCCATCCACTGAACTTTTGTGCAAAGTTTTATGCAGGTTTTTGGATAGGAGGGTTGGGCTTTGGAGACAGTCCTGAAGAACGTTGCAGTATACTCGATGCTGCAGTGGTGAGAATACTATTCTTTACCCAGTAATCACTGTAACACATTTGATTCTATAATGCCCTTAATGTATTGTTGACATGCAATCTGTTATTTTTATGTACCGAAGGTTGGTGGAATCTTTTTATTCGTCAATCTTGGATGGTATTTGTGCAAAGCTGCTGTCCCTACGCCTATCTTGCATTTTCTGATCATTTGTTAAGGAAGCATTTTACATGTAAAAAGACCATGAATATGTTAACCTGCAAAAGTGAAGTCAGGCAAAAGTAATAATGCAGCACTAACCTTTATGAACTTCCATGCTGACACGAGCCATACTAAGCAATATTACTATAGCACAACTTCAATGTCACATCATCTACTTCTTTCTTTCTTTTTTTAGGCTGTGTAACATCATTTACTTTAGATGTCTCTGGGAGTCAACAACTGTTGATTTTACATGACAAAGCATCAAACTATTTTGTAGGACTCTTTTTGAAGGAAGTGTTGAATGGTTATATCTAACGGTCTAACCTGTTTTCATGTCATAGCATCATAAAGAGTTAAATACTCCAAACTATCATTTGCACTAGTCTCAGATTGCAGTTGATTGTACTTCATAGTTAACAAGCAGAAGCCATTGTTCTTCATACATTTTATATGTTTTCCATAAATTTATCAAGCAGTGTAATTTATTTGTGTACAACTGTACATTTTACTTTATTCTTTCAGGGTTGCTTGCCTCCGGAGAAACCTCGAGTTGTCTCTAGGCTTGGTCTTCCAGGTGCTTGTGATGTCTCTTGTCCACTAGGCAGCAAATTTATACTTGGTTGTGTTTGTGCTGTTAGTTTCCATCCTAGGGCTTCCATCTAGAGGTTGCTGGTTGTTTTTGGCTTCTGCATCAATCCAACAACTGAACCATCACCACAAGATTAGCATGGTTTTCTGACAAGACCATGTTAAAGTTACATCTAGCTTGCCTCCAGGCTTGGTCTTCCAGGTGTCTGTAATGTCTCTTGTCCAGTAAGCAGGGGATTTGGATTAGGTTGTGCTTCGTGCTGAAGTTTAAGGCCTAATGGCTTTCATGCAGATCCCGTTGATTGTTTTTGGCTTCTTCATGAATACACCTCGCCTCATGTTTTCCTTACTCTTCTGATAACTGTAGTGGCTTAGAAATAGAATTACCCTTTCATTTTTCCATGAAGGCTGCAACTAGCCCTTTCCGAGTTGTCCATTAGACAACTGATGTTACATATAGGAAGCTCTTGCATCTTTAACAGGTTTGACCATTTTGGTACGTTTTATCTCTTGTAGAGGAGGTTTTGGAGGGTGTAGCTGCTGGTATCGACCTCTTTGACTCTACGTATGTACATTATTTACCACTCTCTTGTTATAGCATTGCAGTTTTATTAGCTTGGTTTAACCAGTTGATTTTTCTCTTGTTATAGCATTGCAGTTTTATTAGCTTGGTTTAACCAGTTGATTTTTCATACTTTGACAGGTACATTTACCAGCTTACTATGGGTGGTTTCGCACTGATCTTCCCCATTGACATGGTTGGAGAAAAGATGCAGAATGGTTCACTCAACAGTAGTGATGGAGATTTTACAAAGATTAATCTGCGTGCAACGACATATCGGTAGGTCCCATGCTCTATAGAAATTGCATAAAATACATTTTATTATGCACACTAATTAGTAAGGATGCAGTTAAATACTTTCAAGAAATCATTTTAGTTATATATTGGGCATACAAACTTTTTTATTAGTCATAAGTTTGAACTGTATTGTTGTTGTTTGCGGAAGAAATGCTCCTCGGATATTTTGTTTAAATTTTGTCATACAATCAATTCTGAATTTGAATTGGGAATCTAGCAAAATCAACTAAAATTGAATTGCACATGAAAAGTGGAAGCACTGACTTCTATGTACACTAAATATTAACCACCACTGTTGATGTGAATCCATCAGCCCAATTAGGCAACATAGGCCTGCTTGGGAAGCCCGAACCCCTGGCCCATCCATGGGATCGGCAACTATTTTAAGTTTGATTCAATGGCCCATCTGTGGTTGAGTTGAGATTTTGGGCTTGACAATTAGGCACTTAGAGTTATCATTTCTTCACAGATGTTGAAGCATTTTTAACATCTAGAATATATTTTTTTTTGGACATATGTTCCTTTTTTTCAGGAAAGACACGTCAAGGATAGTTGATAGCTGTAGCTGTTTCACATGCCAGAACCACACTCGTGCTTACCTTAATCATTTGCTCAATGTCCATGAGATGCTGGCTCAGATTCTACTGGAGATGTAAGTCATGTCAGAAGTTCAATGACGCATTTTAGTAGGTTTATAAAATTATGAGTGTGACATTTGTTTGCTTTTGCAAAATTTGCAGACACAATACACATCATTACCTTTGCTTTTTCCGGTTGATACGAGACACGATCAAAACCGGACAGTTTGATCGCTTTCGGCAGCAGTTTGTTCAGGACAGGCGTGCTTATCTTGCAGCTGCTGTGATCTAACAAGGATTAACTTCTCCCTAGATGTACACTGTTAGACCTCTTGAGGCTTGCATCAAACTAAATTGAGAAAGCTGCAAGTTAGATTCATTCAAATCCACAATCCCTCTCTTCGAAAATCCAAGTGACTGAACAACTTTTTGCAAATCCCTGGAAAGAAAGAAGAAAGGAACAAATAGATAGTGCTAGATGGCTGAATTATTAACTTGCCTTTGGATGAATTTTCAGAAATTTTCGGGTTCATTAGTCAGTTTGTGTGCTAACTGTTCATGTTATTATAGCTGTTTTGGTAGGAAGTCTTGACTCAACTTGTCGAATTTTTATTATTTTTTGAACTTCATTGTTTTTTAATTTTTAAAATAAACTCTTTTAAAACTTATTTCCAAAATCTGAACCTTTTAGCCCTCTAAGTATGGTAAATAACATTACCACGCCATTCGCAGCAGGCGCAGCGTGACAGTTAAAGAATTTTTTTTTAAAAAAAAATCTTGCTTGTCAAGTTTCAGATCTCTCCCTTGTCGATTGAGGAAAAATGTGGTATATGTTTGCACGTATTTTTTTTATTTTTTGAACTTTTTTAATTTTAAAAATAAACCCAACCAAAATTTATTTTCAAGATCTGAACCTTTTGGACACGTCAGTCAAACTGGCGTAGCAAAACAATACTGTCGCATCACTCATGTTGGTGTGACAGCGTTATTTGGCCTAGCGTGGCAGAACAAAACTGTCATGCCTGCTACACGCGGTGTGACAGAGTTATTTGGTCACGCCTCCAAAGGTCACGCCTCCAAAAAGTTTAGATTTAGAAATATTTTTTGGAATGGTCTATTAATAAAATTAAAACATAAAAAGGTCTAAAAAAATAAATAAAAATTGTCCGCACGCTAGTGAGTCATGCATTGGAAAATTGGCGACAATTTACCTCTGATATGATATTTTTGGCACAACTTTGTAACAGGATTTTGAATTTGGATGTTTTTTTTCTTGACAATATTAGAGAATTTCCGTTTGATTTATAACATTGTTATTTTGTACCTGTGTCTATTGGGCGTGTGATGCATAGATATGCCATGTGAATCATGTGATTGTGTGCGTGCATGATGGGTAGTGCCCGTGCTACGATAGTATAATACTTGCTCCATCCTCAAGAGTCAGACACATCACTTTTATAACCATCAAAGGTAGCGTTTAATTGCAAGGATAGGATGTGGTGAACCAACTTTTAGAGGTGTTTGGTTTAGGGGTGAGTGGGATGGGTTGGTCCCTGAAGAGGAATATTCCTCTTATATTCGGGATCAACCGATCCGCAAAAATATGGCGGATGAACTCGTCCCACCTGGGACCAGCGAACGGCGTCACCTCGCCATCCGCCACCTCCGCAAGCTCCGCCACGCGTCCGAGAGTGCCGCCGCCTCCACGAGCACCACCTCCGCGAGCACCGCCATCGCTCCTCTCAGATCCGGAAGCCTCCGCGAGCGCCGCCACCTCCGTGAGCACTACCGCCGCTCCTCTCAGATCTGAGAGCCTCCGCGACCGCTACCTCCTCTGCCTCATCTGCGACTGCCACCACCGCTCGTCCGCGAGTGCCACCACTTCGGCGAGCTCTGCCGCGTATCCACGAGCGCCGCCGCCTTGCCTCCGTGACTACCACCACCCCTGCCTCATCTGCGACTACCGCCGCCGCTCGTCCGCGAGCGGCGCCATCTCCACGAGCGCCGTCCGCTCCTCTCAGATCCGGGTGCTGCCGAGCTCCTCCGCCCCCAGACGGCACTAACGGTGAGTACAAATCCGTCCATCCCATCACACCTCAATCCTTTCTACCAAACAGAAAACTATAATCATCCCATACCAAAAAACAAACAGACAACTGGAATCATCCCATCCCACAAAACTAGGATAGGTCTAACCTATCCCACTTTGTCTCCAAACCAAATACACCCAAAGAGAATAATTCATCTTACATGTACACAAAGAAAATAAAAATATACATACATGCAACCAATGAGTATTAAAATGACTTAAGGGTTCCGATTAAGTCTTAGATACACGAAAAACAAATATGACTAATTTATTTGGAAAACCAAAATATAGAATAAGTCTAGTTTTTATGGAAGGATGAAGAACCATTTAGATAAAACTAATGAGGATTTATCCCGGTGTGTTTCGGACACATGTGATCATTTTAATTCACTGACACATGAGCTTGTGAATCCTTAAATTCAATCAATTTTACTGCAAAGTAAAATAAAAAGTGTAAATGCAGTAAAGTAGGATAAGTATATAAAAAGTAGTAACAAGTTTCATTAATTTCATGCAATAGATAAATTAAATGCAATTCCAGTTCCCTATTCGAAGTCGTCGCCATGTTTTTTTTAAGCTGAAATATGGATAAAAACTTATACTACCCTCCTTCCAAATCCATTCAAAATATAAGAACTCAAAGTAGGGAAAGGTTGTAATTGCTGAGAAGAGAACATACGTGAAAAAAATTTCATATTTTGGGATAGATTTTGAATGCCACATATTATTATATTTTAGGATATTGGAAGTGATTTTGGGATAGATTTTGAATGCTACATATTATTATATTTTAGGATATTGGAAGTGGATGATATACCTGTTTATAGGTATAAGTTACATATTTTATACATTACTGTTAAGTTAATAAATAAAATTTGAAAGACAAATAAAGGTATGTAGAAATTGTAGTTTTAGAACAGACTATCTAACAATTGCCATAAGTTTTTGGAATTTAAATTATAGTATATAATTAATTTATATATAACTTTTATTCAACTGGTTTGGTTTGTTATCCTCCGTGAGGAGTTCGACTTCGCTTACGTGTTTTTAAAGTATTTTTTCCTCTTCACGTACGAATGGTCGTTTGATTAGAGCGCAGGAAAAACGCAGGAATCGGATGAGAGAGATAGACTCAAAAGGAAATTTTCCAAGAGATTGGAGCTCTTGCTAAATTTTCTCCAAAATCCACATGCAATGTGCTATTCCATAGGAATTTCATACAATTTTAAAAGCTTCAATCCTTTGAATCAAAGGGCCAAATAAGAAAATTTCCTATAAGATTTGAATCATATGAAATTCCTACATAAATCATTTGATTCAAAGGGGCCCTAAGGCTATTCATTATTTGTGCATTGGAGTAAATGGACATTGATGCATGCATCCATGCACACAAGTATTTATAACCTACATGCAATATTTTGATTTGCTATTGGCTAGAAAATAGTGGGGATGATGCATGCATCGAGTTTGTTGCTATAGTACATACAGTATGAAAGAGTTATTAGTTTTTCTTGGTCTTGATATACCTATAAAATATGTAGATCAATTTGAAATGAAGGGAGTATAGTTTTGAAAATCGTGCTAACGAAAATCAAGGAAAAAAGAGAAATATATATAAGAAAAGAATGGGCTTAAATGAATCTTCCGATTTGCATTCCTCATATCGGGGCCCACAACCCCCGGATTTTGGGGAGGGGAAAGTGCACAAAACTATCCTCCTCCTCTCTGTCTCCTCCACTCCCCCACGCCACCGCTCGCCGCCGCCGCCGGCTCAGCTTCTCCTCCTCCTCCGCCGCCGCCGCCGCCGTCCTCGGGTACGGACCACTACTACCGAGTAGTACGGAGTACTACTGATATCACCCTTTCCCCTCGGCCGCCTTCTGTTCGATCCACGGGGCGGGCGGGTGGCGTCTGTCTTTGGAGTTCGTCTCGCGTGGGGGAATTTTTCTCCCTGACTTGTGTCGTCTTCTCACGCGATCTTGTCTTTCTCTTCTCTTTAGGTGAAGCAGCGCAGTTCGGAGGAGGGAGGCGGAGGGGGTTTGTTCGCCAACCTAGCTCGCTCGCTCAGCTGCCGAGCTCTTCTTCGCTGGTATGGTGGCCCGCTTCTCCTCTTCCTTTTGTTTCCGTGTGAATCTCCTACTACTGCTGCTGCTGCTACTACTACTACTACTAATTCTAGTTTTTGCTCCCTTCAATCCAAGCGCTATGAATATTCTTGGTGAGTAAGTTTGTAATTTTTGTTTTTAACTCTTAATTGTGAATTGTGATTGCTTCCTAGTTGAACGGACCACGGCTCGCGCGATCAGATCAAGTTTGTTTGCGTTCTTTGCCACTGGTATACCTAGATTGCTTTCTGCGGTCGAATTGTGTTGAAAGATCGGATCAACTCGGTTGATTCAGTGCAGCTTCCCGCTGTAACGACGAATTGCACTGTTTTTGCTTTCGATCTGCATTTTTGTTCTTCACTGATGTTTGCTGTGGTATTCTCAGTGTGTTCTGATTTTTTGGTATCTAGAGATAGGACGTATTTTGGTTTTGTAACTTGTATGACAGTCTATGAAGATGGATGCAAGTAAAATGCCAAGGTTATCATTATCGAATTGGATGTTCTTGCTGCCTGCAGGATTTATTTTCTAGATACTGCTAACAAGGAAAAGGATTTCTTTTGCTAGGAAACAGGAAATTTTCATTGCCTTGCCACATTTTTATTTCTATCAGTCAGATGATTATAGTTGCCAGGGAAGCTGATGCTGAGTACTAGTTTTTTTTTTGCTATGCGAAACCTTGAAACAGAGGGACTAGATTCATCATGGTATTCATTCTAGTGCTAAGCCATTTTAGTTCCTTCACATAATTGATTGCAGCGATAGCAGTGTAATCAGAGCAAATTTCACTACTTTAAGACACTAAATGCTATATGTGACAAATTTCACTACTTTAAGATGGTACTCCATATGAGTTTCTCAGGCTTCCTCAAATTCCAGACAATATCTTGTCCAATAGAAAGTGGTTTCCTTGTTCAAGGCTTTAAAGCTTTGGCCCTGAACCCCTCCCTGGTACCCTGTATAATTTTAAATCTGTCAATTTATCCCACTTTGTTATTCACAATATGAGTATGCCATATGCTGGGCTCATGTGCTGGTACCCTGTATAGTATGTACATTTTTTTATCCTCATGTGCTGGGCTGCTGGCTCTGTTATTTACCCTTTTGTGGTAAAACAAATTAGACAGGACAAAACATAATACATTTCTATAATCTATAGAGGATGATCTTTTGTGTCATCTTGCTTGGGTGGTGGAACTCAGCATGTGATGTTGTGGTTCCTGAATGTACCCTCTGGTCAATTTCTGTAGTACACACTCTAGTGAGATGAATTCCTGTTTCCTGGTCTGATTTTCAGGTTTTGATGTTATGCGGTAAGTGGAGTTGTCAAAATTGAAGTACTATATTTTTGATAGAGCGAGATATCAAAAATCATCAGTTCATCATCATCATTATAACCAATCGTTAACTATAATTCCACATGGGAACAACACTTGCTAAGCTCTCTGCACAGTTTTATACATGTGTACTGATTGGTGCTTTTTTGTCATCTCGTTTTATGTATACTTTATCTTCTAAGCATGATGTACTTTTGTTTTTCCTGCACCAATATAAGACTGTTTTTGTGTAGGTCTTTGAGAGATGAAATTTTAGTGATATCAGCTGCTAGAGGATAGACTGAAGTAACTTTCAACAATTATAGAATGGGTGGTTGCTGTTGTTCATCGACAAGATCTGCATCCGTCGGAGCACCAGTTTATATCTATGTATGTAGACCTGCTGAATTTTCTTTATTAATTATGTTATCTCTCTTTTGTTGGCATCACGCTTTTGAAAATTGCATAACGATTATGTCAAAAAATTTTGGCTGAATTAATCAGTTAGCAGTGCTTTTTGTTCACCTTTTCTTAGCTGCAAGTTAGATGAAAGCCAAATGAACTGCTCTGTGTTAATGCGTCTCTGGTTCCAGCCCCTCTGCTTCTGTAATGTTCTGAGTTCTGATATTTGAGTGTATGCTAGAATTTGCTGAAATGTTCACTGCAGATTCGAACAAAAACCGAATGCTAGAAATTTTGTATTACCTCTGTGGTTTCAATGCAACAGAAGAAATGCCTTTTACTACTAGGACGCATTTCCTTTTCTTTGCAGTCCTTGATTCTTTAGCATTACAAATTTTCTAGACACCATGCATTTGTGTTATTTGTTCTTATATAGTTAATGTGATAATTGCATACATTTTTAAAGAATTACGGTTTATTAGTATGTTGACATGGGGATGGCTTCTTTTACTCGTCAGCCTTTCTACTGTAAATCCTTGGCTTGTCATGTAAGTTAGCTCAAGGATACTGATATTCTTCACCTTGTGTTGTCAGCATCAACAAAATCCGGCCTCTACAATTGTTGCAATAGACAAAAATCTGGATACATCCACTCCTGACACTTACCGAGCACCACCTACACCTTTGCCTTATGATGTTGGTCTAGTGTTGAAAGATAACCCTGGTAAAAATTGATTATCTCTGAGAATGAGCAATGCTTAATGATCTCCATGTTATGGATCAATGCTTAGAGTTCCACATTCTTATGTAGATTTGGAGAAGACAGGCATCAAGAGGAAAATTCATGAACATAAGGAGTCCTTAATGATGGATGATAATGAGTCATTGCAAAAATGTGTCTCTGAAGATAAGCCTGATGAGGAGGATGTTTGCCCAATCTGTCTTGAAGGTTCTGTTTCTCTTGAGCATAGGATAATTTACTTTCAATTTGAAAGGATCTTAATTAAACTATGTTTACTTGGTTGGTATACGCATGCTTTACTGCTCTTATTTCCCACTGTTGTTTGCTTAATAGGTCAGTTCACTTTAGTGAGAACATAATCTTATATAAGATGCATTCAGTTGGGTGTGATGACAAATGGTTAGGAAATAATGATAAATCCCTGAAAAGAATGCCTAGAGTCTGCCAAATATGTAACTGTCTAACTGGCAGTGCTATGGGCCTATGATTGTTGTTTTCGTGCATTACACGCAATACGCAGCAGTCTGTAATCATATAAACTGATTATCGACACTAACGATGGCTTGAACACTTGACTGGTTTGTAGATAGAGAATCCGAAATAGTGGAACATTTTATGAGTTCTTCTATAAATTGTTTGCTTCCTTTTCTGATGTACATGTGCTGTGATGATCCTCTAATACACCGATTATCACTTCAATCTCAATTGAATTCCTGTAATAACAGTTTTTCGTTATTCACCAGAATATGATGAAGAAAATCCCCGCTCTATGACTAAATGTGAGCATCATTTTCATCTTTGCTGCATACTTGAGTGGATGGAGCGGAGTGAAACTTGCCCAGTTTGTGACCAGGTTAGTGCACCAAAACCAATTTATGTCAGGCTAAACACATTTTTGTTGTAGCCCATGGATGTGTTTTCTGTTGTCATTTCCTTTATGGACTATGGAGGTTGTTTTTTTTGGGTATGGTAATCCATTCTGAATGCTTACAGGGGAAGTTGGTAGTCGATCTGAAGCTAAAGAATACAAATTTTGATGTTTGAGATTGTTCTGATGGTCTTATTAATTATTTTTCTGTTAATCTAAAGCCCCTAAGTTGAATATTTCCATCTTTGAAAGAAATTATTTGAGGAATAGATGGCCTTTATTTGCTGTAAGCTGACTATACCTTCTTGCAGATAACCATGATAAATGCGATGTATGAATAGCCTTGGTGGCCCTGGTGGATCCTCTCTTGAAGCTCATGCTTATTCAGTCGGTTTGGCAGAAGTCATTTGATGGGGAAGCACAATGAGCAACTGCTCTGCTCTCGACATTGGTTTGGTCTTTTTTGGTGGAAGGAGTGAAATTAAGGAGACAAATGACATGAAATGTTCTGGCCAACACTGTTTTGTACCTTTGTTGCCAATCTTTGGCTAATTTATAGCAAGTAGCAACAGGAGGATTAGGAAAATGCTTGGATGCGATATACATACCGGTCACATGATCATTCAGTCATTCGGTTCAAAGTCCAAACATTAAAAATCAGCTCTTTTTTTGTTTAAACTTAGGACGAATGTTACTTCACTTCTAATCCAGTTAGTGTCTGTGTATATCATACATAACATAGGTGAAAAAGAAAAATTGGTCGTAGTCTCTCAGTCTAGGCTTCATTTGTATAATACTTCTAGTTGGACAAGCTCCTGAATACATCCCTTCCTATTTCCTATAGATTCAAATACCTTTTTTTTTAAATCTCTTTTGAGTATCAAAGGGATATTCTTTCCTGGCTCCAAATATGTCCATTTGGCAAAATCAGCTAAATATCTCCCTTTCACTTTCCTTCAACATATGGCAAAATCAGCTAAATATCTCCCTTTCACTTTCCTTCAACATAAGTTAAATGTTGATTTGGATTCTGGCAGTGACATGTTCTGCTTATAAGCCAATATTTGAATTTTTAAACTTGTAATTATGAAGTTGATTATGTGGGTTTTTTCATTGTAGATTATTTTACATCATTTGCTTTTGAATCACTAAGGACACATATAAAAGATTTACCCACTAATTTTTTTGGTGGTTCATACGTCTTATGGAAAAGCATAAGCGAAATGATCTGCTTCCTATTTTTATAACTATTGTCCATAGTAGAGCTAACCTGCAGAGATCTCAGTCAAAATGAATGAATGCTACTATTTTTCATTGCACCTTTCATCTCAATGTACGGGCATGTTTGGTATAGCTCTGGCTTCCAGATTCATTTTACATGGAGTTGGAAACCAACCAAATGGTCCAGATTCAACAAAAAGGGGTGAAGTGCTCCGAAAAAATGCACTAGAATGCATGAGTGGGTTAGACTAGCTCCACCGCTTTGCCCCGGACCCTAGTGGATCCTCTCTTGGAGCTCATGCTTATTCAGTTGGTTTTGCAGAAGTCATTTGATGGGGAAGCACAATGAGCAACTGCTCAGCTCTTGACATTGCTTTGGTCTTTTTTGGTGGAAGGAGTGAAAATTAAGCAGGCAAATGACATGAAATTGTTGGTCAACACTGTTTTGTACCTTCGGTGTCAATCTTGGGCTATCTATAGCGATTAGCAACAGGAGGTTTTGCTAGGAACTGCTTGATTGCAATATACCAGTCACAAGTTAAATGCCCAAACCATGAAATCAGCTCGTTTTTTTCTTTGTTCGTTTAGAAAACGTAAGGGCATCTGTTTCTTCACTTCTAATCCAGTTCCTGTCTGTTTATATCATTCTAACTGTTTGACATTCGAGATCGCGACTACGGTATTTGGATGGTATAGGGATCATCGGTACCAGGGTATATGCGAGATTGAGGTTAAAGAGACGGAGACATACGGGCCCCTTATCTGACAGGCAATAGCCCTACATCCTGTTGGCCGAAGCCGGTGTTGTTTTTATTCATCTGAATCACACGAGTACAATAATTAGGGTAACCTAGCTATCTAACTGTTGTCGACTTGGCAGCATAGATAACCAACTCGTAGTCGACGACAAGGTAGTCTTCCTCCTTGAATATGAATTCGTCGAGATCAGAGATGGCGCTAGATCCCTCTTGCCAACCTCTGTAGGCATCGGATGGGGTATGTCTAGGCTAATCTCTTATGTCGAGATCTGGCGTGTGTTGGCTTGTCCCCTCTCCTCCTAGGGGGGCTTGTATTTATACCCATAGGTGCCCCTTGTCCAAGTAGAACTAGGAAGACCAATGTGGCTACAATCCGAGTAGTCCTTATCGTTTCCATATAGAACTCTACTTTTCCTTTCTTATCCGGAACTCCATCTATATGCGAGGTATGATTCTGTATAAGACTTGATATGTGGTGGGCACCGCCAAGTTTAATCGATTACTATTAGGTATATGGTATTTATAACCCTAACAGTAAGATAGGTAACAGCGAAAAATGGTCGTATAGTATATGTGTATTCCTAGCTGGACAAGCTCCTGAATATATATACATGCCTTCCTAGTTTCTATAGACAGTTTCTTTTGTTTAGCGGGGAAAAGAGGATATCATTAATCAGGATAGGAATTAGTACAATCCTCATGGATGAGCTGGGAGACACAAGTGCTTTCATGGCCTAACAATTAGGCCTGATTGCACCCCTAATCTCCCTAGAGCTGTGCTAATTCATGACTAATTCTATTCTAATTGCGGCTAATCTTCTGGAATTTAATGGCCCTCTTTTCAGAGACTAAATATGTTGTATCCCAGATCAAGAATGCCCACCTGGAGTAATCATCTTCCTTGGCTAATTAACAAGGATCTTATTGCTACATCGCAGTCCGATTCCACTATAATTGGGAACAAGGTCCACTGTAGCGTTAACGACAACCCATCCCAACATGCCATCAATTCCACCTCAAGGGCATCAAAACAGTGGGTGATGGCTTTGCGCGAGATGAAGATAACATTGCCGCTACAGTCACGGACGACGATTCCAAGGACTGAAGGAGCTATCCACGTTCAGCTTTACCCACCCATTCATAGGTTGGTTCTAGTGCAACTCCAAATCAGATTTAGGTCTGTGACTAGGAGCTAACTTCCGGCGCATGCTCGATTGATCAATTACTTGCTTCCAAGGACGGATCTACCCATTAAGCAGTGGGTCGATTGACCCAGCTACGATCCGTGTCACTCCACATCCCCAAGACCCCCTACTCCCTTATAGTAGTCATAGGCAGGGTTGGAAATTCCAGTCCCCTCCGATACGATATTACTTCGGCCAAAATTTTTTAATTTTTTCATGAATTTTGATAATATTTGTTCAAATTCAACTAAATTTTAATTGTTCAAAATTTCGGACCGAAATTTCGGCATTTCGGTGAGGCCCTATCAAATCGGCTAAACCGATAGGTTTAACTCTGGTCATAGGCCATAAAAATTAGGTATAACAATGTGTAATCATCCAACAGATTAGTCCATCTCTTCACAACGCAAGCACTCCGCAAACAATGATCGAGCCTGTTATGCGATTGAACTGTTAATACGATATGTCTTGTATTTGTTTGCTCTTGTTGACTGAATATGTCCATTCTTCGTCCCATCTATGTAAGTTGTGTCCACCACTTTTGCTTCCCATTCTTCAAGTCAGCGGCTGGATGTTGCTGTATCTATCAGCATTAAGGAGTTCATAGAGCTCATCAAGAAGTTCTTCGACGCCTCTTTCACTGGCAGGGACTTACCATGAGTGATATCATTTTGTACATGCCATATGTGCCACAACAATATTAAAGTACAAGCCTGCTCTAGCTCAGATAGGTTCGCAAGAATTAAAAGGAGACAATCCTTCCAGGTATACTTCACATCCTCATGTGCAGGAAGCATCCAGACCTCCCTCATTGCATTCCACCGATCATATGCATGAAGACACTGGCAGAGCGCATGGAAAGTATTCTGGAGAACGCTACGTGTCGGAAGTACGGCGCGAGACGAAAAATCGGACGCATCCATGAGCTGTCCGATCCACGCGCACGCCATCAGCCATCCAATGTCATCAAGCATGCATACATGCAAAAACTATTTAAACTATTTTTTCTCTTAAATTATTTATCCAAATCATGATCCGATTGCACTTTTAAATCCGTTGTAATTAAATCTTTAAAACAAGACCACACATGGATATATTCTGGTGAAAAAATTTTTAGCTTATTATTAAATTATTTTTAAATGTTGCACGTTGTTTCACCAAGTATATCGGAATTGTTTCACTAGGTAGATCGAAAATATTTTAATCGTTTAAATCAGAGCTGTTTTACCTTATATAAAAACAATGTTTCAGCAAATATTTCAAGTCACTGCAACATTTAATCCATATAAAGTGAAACATTTTTTTTTTGAACAGCATGCAGAACATTTGTCTCTACTGCCACTGGATTCCCCATGTCCCGAATCCATAATCTTTGTACTCACCGCTAATTTATATGCCGAACTCTTTTCTCTGGGTGCCAGGCTAGGACGAAATCCCCTTCCTGTCGAGGTGTGACGTACAAATTTTCAATACAACATCAGCATCGGCAGGCAAGAAAATATATATTCCGTATCATTTATTCATCCCATACACCATTATAGATTTGCCACCCACTTTATTCTGCACCTTCCTTGCTGGGTTATGATTACCAATCTCATAGACCTGTAGAGTATCACGAAAGGCTTGCATCTGTGCAGCGGGTCTGGAGGTAGCAGACAAATGTTCTTCCTGCCAAAGAGCCTCATTAAAATCGCCAATTAGCAATCCACGGTAGATCAGATCATCAGAAGTAAGTATCATGAAGCTTAATTGCGTCCACATACGATAGAGATTCTCTGTTCTTAGGGGTTGTTTGGATGCTATACTAAGTTTGCCACCATTCACCGTACTTTTTATGTCACACTTGTCTAAGTTGTGGCTTACAAAAAGTGAGCCACACCTTAGCTAGCAAAATTGGATTGTGCCACACTTTAGTGAGTTGATGATATGTGGGGCCCTAATAGATGAGAAGGAATCTTGCTATAAGTATGGCTATGAACCAAATAATATGCTAACTTGTTCAAACTTGCCTAACATGAGGTGTGGCAACCTTTAGCAAACTTTGGGAGCAAACCAAACAACCCCTTAGTTCTCCATAGACACAAGTTAATCTCCATAAATGCGCAACAGGGGACACTCGCACATACGCATTAATATATCTTTCATTAATAGCTTTGATTTCCTTGTTCATGCCAAAACAAGGCAAGGCTACCATTAAGAATCTACTACAGAGACGGCAAACACGATCCAACTTTTGCCTAGTTTCACGGAGAAAAGCAATATGGGAATTATGCTATTTAACTAAAGCGAGCAGGTCATGAATTGTCGCGGCATTCCCCATACCACGACAATTCCAACTTAGACAATCCATTGCTCATGAGGGGGCTACCCATCAGGTTACTAGCAGCCTCCGTACTGGTTGCTTCTCCCTGCAGGTGTAGCGCCCGTTCCGTCGTGGCGCCTAGCGGAAAAATTATCTCTTAAAAACCCTAATTGCGAAATTTGTTTCTTCGCTTGTCGTCTAGGGTCCGTGCCATCTCAAGATCTCAATCCCCGATCTATCGTCAAGTTCAAATCCGAATCCAAATCTTTCCAAATCAAATTCCTCCGCAAAAGTCTATTTTGCCTCCCCCGGGGTCGATGGGCCGAATTTCTCTCGGCCCATCTTCCCCTCTCCCCCGGCCCTCTCCTCTCCCCCGGC